TGGTCCTTTGTTGGAGAAACTCCTTGATCCAGTCCAGAACCAAACGCTTACTCCGTAGTTGTAGAGTTTTCGCAGCAGTATTTGGTGGCTTACTCGATCAAATGCCTTGGAGAAGTCCAAATAAACTATATCCAATGGCTGGACTGTATCGACGGATTTTGTCCACTCGTTCCGTGCAAGAAGTAGATTTGTGTTGGACGAACGCTTGTGCCGAGATCCGTGCTGAGTTGGAGACAAAAGCTCATGCTTCTCCAGATATTCCATCAACAGATCTGCCACAATAGCTTCCATGACTTTCGACAATATTGGAAGAATTGTAACAGGGCGGTAGTTGGTAGGATCACTGTGAGATCACCCTTCCACGACTGCGGAATTTCTGCCTTGTTGAACATCCTTTGGTAAATAACAGCCAGAGGTTTGAAAATACTATTGGCTAGCGATATCAGAGTCCGGGGATGCATGTTGTCTGCTTCTGGGATGAATTCTTACACAAATTTAGTTGTTCTGCTCTAACCTTCTCACTGTCCAAAGTCATGTTATCCAGTAACGGATACGGTATATAGGGTAGTTTGCTTGAAATCTGTAATGCTTCGTGTGTCGTTACATTAAACACCTGATCGAACTGTTTTTGTTTTGAGGAACTCTGCTGCTTCTAGAGTAGTGGTTGAAACATATCCAGACGATCTCAATGCTGGTATTCCGCATTTCACCTTTCTTGTAGTGTTGATGTTTATAAAGCAATTTTGGATCAAAAATGAATTTTTGAGCCAGGGTTTCTTGGTACATCAATTTTTCCTCTCGTACTAACTTGGTACACTGATTTCGCAGCAAGGAATAATTATTCCAAGTTTCGATAGATGGACATCTCGACTCCCACCAGGAAAAGTTCCTTTGCTCTATCCATTTCTTTGTTCGATTGCGAATGAATGAATGACGAGTTTTAGGTTTAGCACAAGCTTTTATACTTGTTGCAGCCGTTACAATTTCGGTAAGATGATCAGTGAAATTCTTCCATGCCACCAAAGGATCGCGATCATCTTCTGGGAGGACCCATTACTTAATTATTGCCAGGTTTTGCAGTTTTTTGTAGTCTATGATGGCACGAGTACTGCTCTTTCGGTTTTCTTGGGTAGATGCGTAGCCTATATAATCAAACATCAATACGGCATGATCAGTACGTCCTAGTGGAGACGTGACATTGACAGATTCCATCATCAGCTCTTCGTTAGTCAGCACTAAATCCACTGTTGATGGTTCGTGACCTGCTCCAAATCTGTTGGGTTCTGTAACGTGGTTGTTCAACGGGTGCAATCCAATGAACTGAGATAATTGCCTCTCGAATGGCTGGCGGGAAGTCCTCATTCTGATAAGATTGGGGCAGTTAAAGTCACCCATTATGAGGACATGGGTGAACTTCAGTGATAACGCATTCCTCATGGTTTGCAACAAAATCTCGTTAGCTGAGTCAGAGGATGCGGGAGGTCGTTACACAACACCGATTAGACACCTATCGTTTTTGGAGAGTATTACTGAACACCATAACGAATCGGGGGTTGAGTCGGGAATATCAAGCTGTTCACACTGTAAATTATTTCGATGATAAATTAGCACTCCACCGCCTCGTGTAGGACGATCATATCTGAGCATCAACGTTCCAGATAGCAGCAATTCCGAGTCAAGAATGTCGGTGGTCAGCCAGGTTTCATTAACGGCAACAATGTCAAATCGATTAGTTTTCCAACGAAGTTTCATCTCGGAGAATTTGCTAAGGTAACCTCGTGCATTAGTATAAAAACATGAAAAATATTTTCGGCAAAGAAATCTATCTGGGTATGTGGTGTTATTTCTGCCTACCAACTTGGGCTCGGCTAACATTGCTTTTTTGTAGAATTGGCTTCGTCGGTGATACTTGATGAACGTGAAGTGATAAAAACCGCACTAGTCGAGTAAGGTGGCGTGTTAGTATCCGTTTCCGTTGTCGGACTTTGCTGGGATCCAGTATTATGTGATGGTCTTAGGCGTAATTCCGGCGCACTCCTTTTTCTATTATCCTTCCACGACTGCAATACTATGTTGGCCATTTCTGGCGTTCCGAGGGTCACTTTCATTATCCTCGGGCCGTTCCCCTGGTAGTTCGGTGAGCTGGGTAGACGACTAATTGCTGTAGTAAGAACCTGGGTACAATTAATTAGTTCTCGAATGAAACTCCATTCCTTGTAATCTTTTTGTTGGTATAGGGATTTTTCTGAATCGTCCAGTTGAGGGACTTCATGAATTAGAACAACCCGTTTGCTCTCCGAATGCCGTGCGTTTGTTGGGTTAGTGTGGTATTGTGTACGCTCCGTCCAGGGCCTATCTAGAAGTTTTCTTGTTCTACACGAATCTTTCTTAAGAAGGTAACTAGAGAGAAGAACTTTTTCCAGGTCCTTCACGTCTGCAAATGTTACGCTGGTTAATCGTGGCTTCCTAGCATGCGGCGATGATGGACGGCAAAACAGCAGCGCGATTCCAACTGGGTGAACGTTGAGGCCCATTTGGTTGGCTTGGACTGGCTAATTACATAAGGCCTCAATAGGTCAGGTGTGTTACTAAACCGGACTACAGCAAAGCTGCCTACCCACCTATGTTGGATGGCGATGGGGAGGAGCTCGAAACTTGAACCACAGGGTTTAAAGCACACTGGTGACAGCCACTAAACCACTGCGCCGCCGCCACCCCATCATCATCATCATCATAACTCATTAGCAGATTCCCGTTCAAGAAAGTATTTTTCATAAGCCGCAGAAGTGCACATTCAATACACCTGGCTGAAGCTTATTTTTCCGTTTGATCTATGATCGTTTTTTTTTATCCTTTACTCCCAATCATTTGATACACGATTGAACACGATTGAACTTGCATGAAAAAGATAACGGCAGTCAAAGACTTTTCGAGAAACATGCCAAAATGATGAAGTTAGGAGGTGTATCGGGGTTTGAATGCACATCGCAGGTCTAGATGATGGTGGTCCATACCAGCCGTATTTTGGAGATTTATGCTCTTTTCATTCCTCTCATGGCATATTTATATACCAGAGTGAAATCTTACGGTAATTTCTACTCGACAGCCTCGTTTCTAATGGTACGACAGTGCTCGTTGTCTCCTGTTGAATGCATTCTTATCAAATTGAAAAGATTTCACAGTGTCACTTAAGGGGAGCTAAAGATTCTTAATCTTTAGCTCCCTTATTCGAACATCTGTAACTGAGTCATATCTTGTAAAACTCAATGAATCACCCTTTTTCGGTGGTCGTCCCGAGCAAAGCAAGGGAAATGTCAACTAACAATCTGTGAGGTGCTATATAACGGTTTCACTCTTGTTTGGACCGAGTAGCAATGCCAATCCAACCCGTAACCTCATTGCTAGAAGGGAAGCACACCGTTTGACATGTAACAGCTGACTATTTTTCTAAACCATTATTCGGGGTTCCTTTTAATTTCGATCAGGTGAGGTGTGAAGCGAACCAATCATAACTTTACTTATACACGGGAAAACAGTTCTAGTTAGTTGCATTTGTTCACTTGGATGTACAGGTCTAATTGAAACAGAAGCAACGGGTCTCTGTGAAACACTCATGGGTTCGTATGGGCAACAGCCCTTATGTTGAAGTAATTTTTTTCAAAAACTCCTTACATCCTCCACAAATTGTTCTGTTTGTTATTTTTCCATGGATTACCCTGTAAATCGTGCTTTTGTTAACATTAAAGCATTGGGCAAGATTTGATGTGGAAAATCGCAGCTTGTGTGCGCGTGCAATTCTGTTTCTGTCGTCTTCACTGAGATAGCGAAAACTTTTGGTTTTTAGCGCTGCTTGCTTCATTATGGTGACAAAAATACGAACATTCAAAACTGTGCACAAAAATGCCCTTGATTTCAAGGTTGACTTAGATTGAAATGATATTTCTCCAAATCAGTGAGTTAGATATGAAACATAGATTATTATTATTATGAAACTTATTTGTTGGAGTTTCTTCGGATTGTGAGAGAATTTCATTTGGTTATTCAATAGAGTTGCTATAATGGATTATAAATTAGATAAAATAATGCCTTATAACAAATAACCTAGATGGCAAGGGCATATGAAAATAATTTGGGATAATTATTAAGTCATTTCTATTAGAAAATACTGCGTTTTCATTCTTGATAAAGTTTGTCATTTTGATGTTGAGTTTATTTTATCTTGACGACCTACGTCAGGCCCGTTTAATTGACAATCATGCGGCATAGAAACTACGTAGATCGAAGCAGACAAGCTATAAATTATTGTCAAAACCTAAAAATAAATATAGGTGATAAATATAATGAAACTCGATTCGATCATAAAGAAAATATTTTGGTGCATCACAACCGGCCAGTACTGTCGTTTTGGACAATGAACAAATCCGTAAAACTCTTGAAGTCAGTCAATTTCATTGGATAAATAATGACATTGGTGATTTAGTAATGACGAAAGTTGTTTTCCAGATATACGCGTACAGTGTTTCTTCACTGGTTTTTTGCTTGTCAATGTGCATTTTTTCAATGGAACCATGATTTGGCCGGTGCAAATCATGAACGAAACAATTCCTTATTTATGATTATAAATAATAAAAGGCAGTGAAGACTATACTACAGTGCGATTGCTCCATTGTTTTCGATCGTCTCGTCCCTCTCACCCATGACCTTAAGCAAGTTAATTCCCTCTGACCCCTAGTCCGATCTGATTGGATCATATTCCGCGATCTGTGACGCTTAAAATCGCTCACCCCAACACGAGACTGTCTGATTACCGGCTTGTACGTTTTGTAATGCTCTTGTTGTTACGTCCAGTCCATCCGAGTGCTGATGGCACCCCTGCTACACAGTCGAAGTTCACTGGGCTTGGCTGAGACTCACAGCTGTAAAAAAAGGTGTGGTTTCTCGCCCGGATTTGCTGGGCAAGTACCAGGTCCCTTGTTGCTGCTGGACCATTCGACCGATCGATAAATGAGCCCGATCGGTCATGTGATTTTCGGGCCGGCACAGGAGGAGGATAGGTTCCGAATCCGATGCAGCCTGTGTTGGTAGAGAATCACCCCAAGAGAATCAGTTGTGGAGCGGTGCGCCATGTGGGAAATTCCGAATTACGAAAACGAGCTTGTTCGCTAAACTGTTTGGCTTTTGATATTCCTATGGGAATCTTCCGTGAATTAAGAGAACGCAAAGATCCTCTGGTGCTGAAGAACCTCAATAGTTATTTGAGATTTAGAACGAGGCTTGCAGAAGTGAACGCGAAGATCGAATTTCTCCATCAATGCATTAAACAGAACCAGTATCCGAAGACCTATTGAAAAGTACTCCAATGTGTTCGTATCAGACCAGATGCGGTTTCCCTGAAGCGCCATGTCCGAAGTAAGATTGATACCATCAGATCATGTGTCGTGTCATTAAAAGAAAACGTAGAAAAAACATGGATCCGTATGTGAATTATTAAACATTGAAGAACGCGAATGATTCGAGCAATTTTCTTTGGATATTATCAGGAAAAGGGCCGAAAAAGACTTTGTAAATTGAATAATACGATAAATGATCACAAAGCGAGATCAACGTTCCCCCAGAATCCGGAGCGATACGTTCACAATCTATCGAGTCTAGCCATAGATAATAGGCTACTGGAGGCTCTATCGCTCGATACGAAATTCTGCTATCCAAAATCCAGAGATAATCAGCTTTCGACAGAAGTTCAATTTGAAAACCTATACTCACACACAGAAGGCTTAACTGCTACAACACAGAAAGCAGCCGATGATTTCAAATCCACCCTTATTGATGCCTGTTTCCAACATCGTCGCACGAAAGTACCACGTGGATGTTTACTCAGTCAAAAACATGTCAAAGCACCTCGTGAGCTGAAACTGAATACAGAAATCTTAATATCGAAACCCGGCAAACGTGGGGGAGTGATCCCATTGAATCCTAAAGATTACACAGACAAAATGATGACAATTCTGAACGACAGTACCAAGTTCACGAAGGATTATGATTATCTGTTCACCGAACCCGCTTCGAAAAATAGTGCGTGTATTTTAGACGAGTCAAGCGTTGGCCCAGTGTCATAATCGCTGAAAAATGTTCCTTTCCGAATTTCCCACATGGCGCACCGCTCCACAACTGATTCTCTTGGGGTGATTCTCTACCAACACAGGCTGCATCGGATTCGGAACCTATCCTCCTCCTGTGCCGGCCCGAAAATCACATGACCGATCGGGCTCATTTATCGATCGGTCGAATGGTCCAGCAGCAACAAGGGACCTGGTACTTGCCCAGCAAATCCGGGCGAGAAACCACACCTTTTTTTACAGCTGTGAGTCTCAGCCAAGCCCAGTGAACTTCGACTGTGTAGCAGGGGTGCCATCAGCACTCGGATGGACTGGACGTAACAACAAGAGCATTACAAAACGTACAAGCCGGTAATCAGACAGTCTCGTGTTGGGGTGAGCGATTTTAAGCGTCACAGATCGCGGAATATGATCCAATCAGATCGGACTAGGGGTCAGAGGGAATTAACTTGCTTAAGGTCATGGGTGAGAGGGACGAGACGATCGAAAACAATGGAGCAATCGCGGTAGCGCATTATATCATTTGGGAATGCAATCCTGTTTTACACGACAAAATGTGTTACTCAATATCGCCAATCAGTACCCAGTTATAATGTTATTTCCTCAGGATTAACCTTGTCATATTAAAGAGATTAAAAATTCAATTCAGAGATATAGTTCTGAAGTTGTTTGGCGACCGGATCACATACAACGCAAATTTCTAATACACCGTGGTTCGGAATGAAAAAAGGATATACGTGGTCTCGATCTTTTTCTCACTAGGAATACCACTGGTGTTCTGTTTCGTACTCTCGATTCAATCGCGAACCGTGTGGCACTATCGTATTAGCAACCTTGGGCATCAACAGTCGATGTTATCTGTCCCTTCAGTCACCTTGTCTATCCTATTCAGAATGACCAAAGAAGGTGCAGCGTACGGGTCGGATTTTTCTTGGATACCCAATGTTTGTTTTTGGTTATTAATCTGCAGTTTCTCGACCAACTTGGGTGTCTAAGGCCTACTTCGAATGATCCATATTCGACATGATCGGATGACATTGACCTTACTACCCGTGCAAATCCGGTGGCAGTGATCGATGATATCACAGTCCGAGTAATAGATGAATAGAGTTTTTCGACTGTTGTCCTTAGATTGTAAACCCCAATGATTTAGACGCATTGTTTGACATGTTTAAACTAGATAGAAGCGTACTCAAATGAACCATCTAACAAAATTGATTTTTTTAAATCGATCCACAACCGTCCAAATGGGAATTAAATTTTAAATTATATCAAATTAGTATACACGGGATTGCGATCTGAAATTACTCTCTCTCTTTCTCCCTCCGTCCCAATGGCTTCGTGCTTCCGGATCAGGGTTAAGATAGACAACAGATAGTTAAAAAGACAGATAAGTTCATGAACGAAAATAAACCTTTGAAAAGAGAAACCGAATTCAGAAATCGGAGCGCCAAAATAGCACTTTGTAATTTTGTATTCTTTGTATTGTTACTCATTAGTAGTGCAATACAACGTTGGTAACTTTTACCAATAAAGTGGAATATTTTGATCAATGTTTGAAACAAGGGGTTGTCCATTACAAATGGTAGTTTCTCTACAAGTGCATGTTTAGGGTTTGGACTTAAGATACGCCATTCTTACGTAGCTTAAAGTCAGCATATAAAGCCGTAGTTTGAGGTCACTATTAAGGTGAAACAGAGACGGTTAGACATGGATTATGCATATTCTTGAGTTACAAAATGACCACAATCTAATAGGTTCAAGTCGAAACATCAATTTTATCATCGAGGGTTTCGGGATACCAATTAGTTAGTAATTTTTAACTGTGTATTATATCTGCAGTGATTAAACTCGGATATAAAACGGTGCCTTTAAAGTGATTATTTTCGGATTTTGGAGGTACTAATGCACAGATAGATAGATAGATAGATAGATAGATAGATAGATAGATAGATAGATAGATAGATAGATGAAGTTGTTTTTATGCGTGTGTGATAGCCAAAATCATTCTTCCGAATTCAAGTTATATGTCTTGGTCCGAAAACGCCAGAAGTCACCCAGATAAGTTGTTACTTTTCATTCATTATTCTTAAAAGATAAGAAGGTGATGATATGTAATAACTGTCACATAAAATGCACATTCACTTTGGTTGCATATTTCGATAATTTTTCGACAACTGTCGGTAATTCGTTCTTTCACGCTGAAGGGTTCGCAAAGACTCATCTTTTCACATTATTTTAATTTCGTATTTCAGCTTGTTGCTGTGGTACCCAAGCTCAATAAATTTATGTGGCGATTGCTCATGAACTATGAACTCTTTTGTTTTATTGAACACGATATCCTTGTACATTCCGAATCTCCGCTTATTACAGTTCCATTCCGTCGCTGAGATCTGTGTTCTGATTTCGTTTCGAGTTTTAGTTCTGGGTTGGACTATTACTGCACAGAATCCGATACGCATACGAATTACTAGTCCGCGTGCTAACCACAACAACTGACGTCGCGGTCATTTTGAACCAATGGAGTCCTGTAATTCGGAGAACTTGAATGTACATGCTAGTGCGTGCGGTCCAAGATTATCTTGAACGACTCGAGATTTGGTGTATTACGCGGAAAGGAATCGATGGAGAACGCAAAACGGCTAATTTCCTAACGGTCATCGGAAAGGATACATACTCATTGTTGAAGAATTTGGCGTTTCCTGACGCTCCTATATCGTTGTCGTATGAATCCCTGAAAATTTTGCTGCTGAAGCATCTACAGCCGGCTAATTTCGAAGCCGCTGAACGAGCCAAATTTCATTCACTCACACGTGGTGGAAACCAACCTGTATGTGACTTTATTCTTCAGCTTCAGACTCAAGCATCTCGTTGCAATTTCGGAGATCAATTGCAAACCCAGCTACGCGATCGATTAATTGCTGGTATTAATTGCCCGGAAATACAGCGAAAGATCCTGCTCATGCACGATTGCACATTCCAGTCGGCTAAGACAGTCTGTGAACAGTACCAAAACGTCCATGCCATTATTTGTGATGAACCCAACTTGTTGCTCAATGCCAGCAATTCCAAGCAGTCACCATCCCGACGAAAGCGGTTTTTCGAAAAGGCCGCGAAAACATCAAGCAACATAAGTTCTCCAGCCCACAATGACCAACGGATTCAACGATGGAACGAGTGCAATTCCCGTGGTCAAAGACATTCGCGGCTATCCTGTAGATTTCGTAATACCAAGTGTCACAATTGCGGTAAGCTTGGCCATATCCAATCTGTCTGTAAAAGTGAGAAGTCGTATCTTATAAAACGTACCACTGTTCTTTCCTCTAACGATTTATTGTGTGATTTACATTCCTAACTCTAGCCAGTACCAGTTCACGTCCCACTCGTCACATTACTCGCAACTTCATCATTAATGACTCCATTCGCCATACATTAATTATGGACACCGGTAGTGTTGATTTCCAACAAGTAGTTCGTCAGTTAACCATCCCCCCCTAGTTGTACTTTCCCCAGCAGACATTTCAGTTAACGGAACAACCGGTCATTCTTTGCCCGTTTTTGGTTATTGATTCCGATATTTCTATAACTGGTTTGAATTGCATGAATCTTATGCATCTGTCATTTTCATTCATGTCTGACTCCCATCAATTACGCCTTCGTCACTTAGTACCTGAATGTTCCAAGGCAAAAGGTGGTATCCAAATGGCTCATGTGAGTCTCAAAGTGACCGGTTCTCCGGTGTTTATGAAACGTCGGATTATTCCACTTGGACTTCGTGAGCCCGTAAACAAGGCGTTAAATGAAATGGTAAGCAAGGGAGTTCTGACACCCGTAAATTCTTCGGCTTGGGCCACACCAGCTGTTACTCCACTAAAACGTGACGGGAAGACTCCTATGATATGTGGGGATTATTGAGTCACTGGGAACGGACAGCTGAAACAGTCCAGTTGTGCCACCATCGAACCAGAGGACATTCTGCACCAACTTCATGGATCCAAATTTTTCTCTAGTCTAGATGCATTTCTTCAAAGTCCTCTTGATGAACAGTCTCGTGAACTCACGACTATTAACACACCTTTTGGTTTATTTCGCTACAATTTTCTACCGTTTTACTCAGTGTTTCCCCAGCTATTTTCAAACTACTATTAATTCCATCATTTCCAGCTTACAAAGTGTATGTGCCTATCAGGACGATATTATTGCCCATTCGCCTAGCAGACACTTACATGACGAACGCTTGTGTGCTTTGCTTGAAAGATTTCGTTCTCATAATGTTTCTATTAGCCCTGATAAATGTGCCTTTGCTACGACTAAACTTTCTTGTTTAGGTTATTTGGTTGATGAATCCGGATTCCGTCCTGACCCTAATCTATTTTCTTCGTTGACTAATGCTCCATCTCCCAAGTCATTCCATGAACTTCGTTCTTTAATTGGTTCTTTACAATACTATTCCAAGTTTATCCC